AGGAGCCAAATAAAAGGCTAGAGTGTCTTAATACATGGCTCTCTCTTGTGAGGGAGACAAAGGAAAAGTAACAACCACCCCTTTCCCTCTTTAGGCTAACATAAAAAAGGTTTGCTGCTTCATATGATTTATGGTATTTCTCTTTTAATTATCTGCAAGAATTGATACCTTCTTGAATAAAATGTCAATCTAAAGAAATCTGTATTAAAATAAACATCCTCCCCTCTAGGTGGCCGTTTCTGCTCCCCATTTTAGACCCAGACTATGTGGCTGAAAAGATAATGACTGCTATTCGACGAGACCAAGCAATTTTGGTACTGCCACGCAGTTTGTATTTCTTCTTTGCTTTGAAACAGTAAGTTGTGTTCTTCCTTCTTTACCTCACTCTTTTTTTCTATCTAAGCTGAAAATGTTTTGACTAAAAACACCAACTAGACTACTCCTGTGCAGTGTGAATGCTCATTCAGTTCTCCACATTTCTGGAGTTTTCTTAGTTTCTAGGGGTTGGTTCTACACAAAACAATGTCAGAAATGTGTGACTGGCTTGCTGCCTCTGCTGGGGTGCAGTGTTACTGTGGGCTGTAGAAACTGGGCCTGCTCCTAAGGAAATGCATCACTGGAATCTTTGCCCCAGCATTAGGGCATGTCTGTCTCTTGCAAGCCAGGCTGGTGAACTGATTTAAGGTAATGACTAAGGCAGCAAAATGAGTGTAACCTGTATTTTGTGAGCACTGGTGGAACTATGTAAGAGATTATAATTTCTTTGCAAGTATTAGCCACGTGAAGTGACTTCTGTGATTTCTGTATAAAGTACAAAAATCTTCTGAGATCTGTTTCTTCTACCTTGCAGTATCCTACCAGTGAAAGTAGGCGTTCTCCTTGCGGACTTTGCTGGAGCCCTCCATTTCATGGATAGCTTCAAAGGCCGCACGAAGAAGGACTGAAAATTGCACAAAACTCAGCAACCGAAAAGCAGACTTTGTTAAAGGTAGTGGTGGGAAAGGTCTGCTTCTCTAGCAGCTGTGAACTTAAGGTGCCTCACTTCTACTTAATAACATTTTTAAGGAAATTGATTTTAATTAGCTCTTAATCAACAGCTTTCACGTGAGCTTTTTTTTATCCAACGCACTGATTTCTTTTTCCCTCATTATGGAAGTAGGAAAATTGAAATGCATTCCTTTGGTAATATCTGTTATAATGCCTTAAATATCATTCTGCTTCACAAACCAATAATTAGCAGTTTGGGGGGAGATAATCTCAGGACTCACAGGTGTGTCTATGGATGTCAGGGGAACAAAAGAATGCAAATGACATTTGTGCTGCTAATTGACTTCTTGTCTAATTTATTTTAAAAGCTAATACTATGCCTGCAACTTTGCAATGAAATCTTTATATCTTATGAGTGCAATATTTTAGGAACAATTTTAACTTTTCATCTCCTATGTAGAGCTTGTAGCTACAAAGCATAATACTACCAGTAGAGATGGGATGTCAAATATCTTGCCAAGCAAGACAACAGAAATACCTTTGCTACTAAAATCAAAGGTATTACATGGTGTAATTAGGGCTTCTCCTGGGACTGTTTCAGAAAGGAATGATGCTGTGTGAATAGTGAATAGGTTCACTAGAACTACAGCTTGAGTAACAGCAGAATGTTTTGCTCCTGAATTGGGAAGCAGGCTGTCTTCTATCTACAGACACTTGTTTTATTTGCCTTTTCTCTTAGGACTATTCTCAGGTATGCTGTGGAGGAGGCCTTGTTTTTTTTGACAGTGACCACTTAGAGGCCCCCTCCAACCTGACTTTCATTAAACCCCCACAAAAAAAAGAAAAAGGAAGATTATATATTATGCTATTTATATATATGCTGGTTAAACCAATCTCATGTCACAGTATTCCACTGGCAATTGGCAATGCCTACAAACTAAGACTTGCTTTAGCATGAAATTAACTGCAGACAGCATGGAGGAAAGGGTGATTGGGGGTTGGACTCAATGATCTCTAAAGGTTCCTTCCAACCCCTACAATTCTGTGATTTAAAATCTGTAATTTAAAAAAAAAAAAAAGAGTTGTTTTTTCCACGATGGCCTAGAAACTATTGTCATTTTCCCCGCTTATACAATTAATGATGTTTTCACTGATTGAGAAGAGTTTAAGTTAAACTATTTTGCTAATGATGAGCAAGAAACAAGAATGTTAGAAGTAGCTTTACAGTTATGATGGATAGCTGAGAGGTAGAATTCAGACTGATGAAGAAAAAAATTGTTTCTACTGTTCTCTCAGATCTTCTGTTTCAGAAATTCTGCTCAGTTTGCAGCTCAATTCAGGAAGTTGAAGTTATCAGAAAATATATACCTGTAAGTTCTGTGATGTGTACCTGTAAATTCTGTGATAGCTCTGTTTGCTTGTAATAAAGTCAGTCACCAATATACCCGTGTGGTGCATGCACATCTTGCAGGCTCCTCACCTCCTGATGTTAGAAGGTCCATTTTCCCCTCTTAATGTGGAGGATCTTTCCTAGGAATGTACTGAAGAAGAACGTCTCCATAAGGACTTTACAGAATCACTGAGTTTGAAAGGTAGCTGTACTAAGAGCAAGGTCAATCAGAGTGTTCCTCAGCACTGTTTCCATGCTCCGATAGACTTTACAACCACTGTGGGATGGCCTGTTCCAGTGTGTGTGACTACGCAGTTTAAAAAAAAAAAAAAGATTATGTGGAATGTGTGGTTTCCAGTTTTTCTCCATTGCTTCTTGTCGTTTCACTGGATGTCATTAAGAAAAGTTTGGTACAGCTATTTAAAAATTCTGAAGGAAGAGCCATCTGGAGTGGAGCTGAGGCAGTAGTAAAAATTGTATTGATCACATAAGCAAGATTTATGTCCAGAAACCAAAACTACTTCAGCTGCATGATAGCAATTAACGTTAATTTAGCTACCAAAAAAAATGCATTTAGTGTGTTTTTTCTCTTTTTTCTATTCTTGGTCTCTTTAACAGATAATTTCTTTAAGTAGGATTATTCCTGAGAGCAAACAGACTGAGACAGCATCCTTGATCTGTAGATGTAGGTGTAAATGGCTTCTAAAGCCATCTCATACTCTAAGTTTGCATTTTAGAGATTGGGATCTGATGAGTCTAAGTTAAGTTCCTGCTCTGTATTTGTTTTAAAATAGAAAATGATGGCCCTATTACCTGTTTGTGCAGCTGGAAGAAATGGATGTTGTCATAGTGATCTGGGCAGCTGGAGTTCACCTGTTACATTTCTGAAAAGAAACTTTCTTCATCATAGGCTTGAACAGTAGCAAGAAGTAAACAAGCTTTATTGCAAAACAACACAGGATCTTTATTGCTCAAGTGTTTAGAGTACTAGCACAGGTGTGATGGTTGCTTTGTGTGACTGGAAGATAACATCCTGTCCTGTTGGTGACTTCACCTCCGTAAATACCAAGCACATCTAATGAAATAGCATGACAGGTATGTAAAGATGTGTCTTGGTGAGAGACTTTTTCCATGCTCAGGAGAAAGTATGAGGTATGTGCTTAGGCCTTCAGCTACCATATGAACTTAAGATCACAGATGGTTCTCTTCCAGCAAGTTCCTGATGCCAAGAAGTGCTCTTTCCTCCTGCACCCAGCAAGGAAAGTCCTCACAGAAAGATCTCTGTGAGACCCAAGCAAGAAGGTAGAACACAAAATGGAAATGCATCTTAGTTGTGCCAGTGTCATAGCTGACAACAGCATAGAGCTGCCTTTTGAAATACGTCAGGCAACTCCCACAAAGAGTTTACTGTTTCTATGACCACTGTTTGAAACTCTCAATGCTGGGACTCAGCCATTCCATTAGAACAAAGTTGACTGGGATGGCATAGTTGGCGTGACAGTCATTGATACAGTGACTCAAAGACAGTTCAGGATGTGGTGGTGTTGTTGCCCGCTGTTACTTTCCCATGTGCAAGTTCATATTCCTGTGGTAGCAAAGATCCTACTATTCACTAATGCTTCAAAGCATGGAAAACACCATTTTCCTTGGTGCTGACTGTGAATGAGATTGAGGAGAAAATAAAAAGCTAACAGCTGAGATATAGGCTATGTTATTACTTATTTTGTGAATTTGGTAATCATTTCCAAGAGCAATACACAGCTGTTTGGAAGCTGGTCTTCACAGTCTGTTCTCATTTTAGGAAGGAACCAAGCAGGTATCTTTTTTTCTGGTAGCTTCTGGCAGTTGATCTTTGGAAGACAGCCATGTCTATTGTCCTGCTCCAGGGCAGGATAGGAGACCACTGTCAGCAGATACAGCTAGCAGCAACAAACAAGGTTCTTGCAGAGCAAATTTTATCTCTTGGTACTGTAAGTGTTGGTGGTATACGGGTGGTGAAAACTTGGTGATGGTGCAGCTCCATTAGGGTGAGTTTGCATTAAGTGCAAACTAAAAGAAGCTTGCTCAGAAATTAACACGGTGGGATGTGATAGCTGAGGCATCTGTTGTGTGTGCAGTCTTTGAAGAATACTGCCTGGAAGTGGGAAATCCTGGTGGAGAGCTAACAAGGTGGGTCTTCCCTAGATTAATTTTAACAAATACTCTTTGCATTACTTCCTGATCTGTCTGTGTATTTCTGGTATGTTAATGGTTGTCCCTGAGGCAATGCATCATGTACACTTAAACTGAACATCTGATTCCAGTTATGCTACAGTTATTGTAAAACAGCATACCTGTGTTTTGGGAAGCTCCTAACTAACAATTTGGGTGAGAGCCGACAGTTCCAAGTAAAGGCTGCGTATCCAGAAGGAACAAATCTCAGCAGAATTGCCAGGTGAGGTGCTTGAATTATTTCCTTCAGGATATAACGTGATTTCTCTGCTCTGGCATTGAGTCCGCCTGTAACAGGATGAGAGTAAGGCACCCAGTAGAAATCTTCTGTGTTACAACTCCCTAAAAAATGAACGCCACGTTAATTTCACACACACACAAAAAATTGTAAGTTCTAAAAAAACATAAAAACATACTGAGCTTCAGGTAATGCACTGATTTTCAGCCTGAAGTTTTTCTAAGCTGTACTTGTATTTCTTTGGTATAGATAACACTGTGCAGTTAAGGATTTGCTCCACATAAATGTGCACATGATTACACTTGAACTTAAGGCTAAGATTACCTGCATCTGATACAAGGATATTCATGTGATTCTGTCAAGAACAGCATCTGCAATTTGTGGGGAAAAAAAACAGCTGGTTTGTACTATGTGCTTGAGTGTTAATTCATCCTCAGGTGTCATTCATCTGCAGATTTCTGAGTAAATTCCTTCTTAAACAATTAAGATAAGCACTTGTTTGAAAAAAAAGAGAGCAAGATTAACGTAGCTGACTGGAAATTGTGATGTCCTGTGTTTTCAGTATGGCTCACTGAAGGTAGAGACAGTCACAACATGAGTATGTTGTTCTGTAATACAGAGAGCGAATGTAGCACAAATATCAGACTATAGTGCAAGTACAGTGTAACACTTGTGGGAGTGTGAAAGGAATACTTGAAGCAGGTAGGGCTTGTGTGTAGAAGTGTTCACCATCTGCAGCAACAGTCCTGTCCCAAGTTCTCTTGTATGCACACTTTTACTGTATTCCAGAAGATAAAATCACAAGCCTTACCATGAATATTTACTCCTTATAACTTACTTATAATTTACTCCTCCCTAAAAGTTCTCCACCTTAGTCAGATGGACCTCTGTATTTTCCTCCTTTTGATAGTGTTCTCTTAATACCAAAAAGAAGCACCAAAATTACACGTAGATCAAGGGAACAAACAAGGAGCAATGTTCAGAAATCACACCATTCCTTGGCTGAGGATTTATAAGGAGATGTAACAGAACAACGAGCCATGCTTTTATCAACCAAATATGAGCTTTCTTCACAATTTTGAAGTCTTTTTTAAGATTCAGCCATTTTGAAATCCAGGAAATGATCCTGAAGAATCCCACGCTTACGTTCCTAAGTATGAACCATGAGAGCTTCTGAGTGGACTAACTGAAGAAGATCTGCAGCCATCAGGGCTTCACACTCATGCTTTCCACGTAATCTGCCTTAGAAGTTACCCTTCGCAACAGGACCAGTCTCTAGATGGTAAACATCTACAAAGATTTTAGATAACATTTTCGCACCAATAAAACTACAATCACTAAATTGTAAAACAAATGTAACCTAAACCAATGACTTGAGGTGGCAAAGAGTCTCAGAAGGGGCAGTAGCTTAAATGGTTCCACGCAGAGACCATTTGAGGGCAGAGAATGCTGAAAGGTTAAGTTTGTTTGTACCAGTGGAAGTAGCTACCTTTCTTTCCCCACTGTGTAAGAAAGCTTTTACTTCTGGTGGGATGCACTGATAACAACTGCTAATCAGAGTCAGAGTTATCCTCTTACTTGACCCTGCATCTAACTTTCTTTATCCTACATCTAAGTTCCTTCAACCAACTGTTCATGGCACTGTGTCAGTAATGACTTACTAGCACTTCAAGATTTCTGGAAATTCCTTGGCTCTCCTCCTGTTACCACTCCCAAGTTGGAATACAAGGAAACTTGGCTGGAAAATATTAACAACCTTTGTGTTTTGTCTGCATAGAGAAAAGAATTGCTATAACTCGACTGCTGCTAGCTTAGATATTTTAAAGATTAGCAGAATGAATTGATTTTTAAATTCCCATAAAGAATAAGACCGTTCCACAAAATAAATTTTCTTAAAGGAAACAAGAACTTGTAAGTCTACATTCATGTACATTGTGCCTAATTTTAAGATGAAGTTAATAAATTGCTAAATGGTTAACTTCATCAGTCTGGAGACTTCTGGCACTTGTGACTGATGGTTTGAAAATAAACTTGAGATAGAAATAATAATAAAAAAGGCAAATCACAGTCAGTGCAGTGTCGATAATGCTTGTTTGGCTCTTACGATTTGTATCTGCTGTGATCCAATAAAGATCACAACTTAGCAGTGGCTTCCCACTGAGGGACTTAAACTACACAGGATTACGTAGCACTTAGAGACAGTGTGCCCTTGCTTTTTTCTGCAAGTATCTGCATTTTGCATGTGGTGACATTCTGAATATTACCTCTGCAGCTAAGAATTCCAAGAATCATCAAGTCCAACATCTACTAAAGCAGGTAAATACAGTTTAGTGTTGAAGATGTGGGATGTTCGTGGAAAAATATGTGAAAGAATGTCTTTGAATAAATCTCAGATCTGTTCTGCAAACAACGTGCTTATCAAAAAATGACTTTGAAGGCTTACGAGAGACAGCAAGCATGGTTAGATGAGCAAACCTGGCTTGGAATTGTGCCATGTCCTTGGACCTTCCTACACAAAAATGTTAATAACAATCACACTTGTTCTAAACACAAGAACAGAGAGAATTGTGCACTTGTTCATTTGTATTGATCCTGCCAGATGATGAACCTTTGCTGCAACAGCATTGCTACAATGAGAAGTTACACAGATCCGTAACTTTAAATAATCCTTTTTGGCATTGCTTTTCTCTGCCCTGCAGGACTGAGAGTTTAGCCAGCAAAGTGCAGCCAGGGGCTTGCTGGAGGATTTTGTCTCAGAAGACCCCAACAATGAAAATCTATTGGGTAAGCGTGAAGAGAGGCTGAGATACTGCTGCTATCCATGTGGGAAGGAGGAGAGCTGAAAGCAGGCTTCTCTTGAGGATGGAGCCAGTCCCCCAGAATATACTGAACTATACAACAGAGGCCAAAGTAAACAACATCCAGCAAAAAGTATTTGCAGGCGTAGATAAAGCTTAGCTCTTCCCTCCGCACGTAGTAGATTCTGTCCTCTTGACAGCGATCCGCTGAGGGTAACCGTGATATTTTCTTCAGGTACTGAGGGAACCACTGCTGGCTGGGCTAAGCAGTACAGATCTGCACCACTGCTGGTGGAGAAGGAAACATACTGTATGTTGTCAAAGCTCTCAACGACTCAGAGATGTTCTCTTCTCAGTGTTTGCTTGCTTCTCAGCAGGGCAGCTGCTGTTACTGCTGCTGAGAGCAGGCTTACAATTTTTCTTAAGGTAAGAAGAAGGTATCAACGCGGAAAGGAAGAGTCTAAAAGGCACTTGGACTGCATTAGTTAAAACTTACTGTGGTAAACTGGGGTTGGTTTGTATCTCTCACAAAGTCTGTTTGTTTACAAAGGACACTAAGACTTGTCACATCATGGCAATAGGTTCTTCATGCTTTTTTCCCGACAGCTGATTGGACATGTGCAGTCCCTATGCGGGGGCAGAGGTTAGTGAAGTTTTCTATATGGCTTGTAGTTTTTTTTTTTCTCTTCTCTCTACCATCAGCAATCTGGCAAACAGCCATTTGAAACTTCAAGATTACAGAACACTCTTCTAAATGTGACCTCTTTTGGGAGATGGTCTCTCGGGTTGGAAATATTCTATTACTTTCCAAGTTACCAACTGGAAAACAATGAAACATCCCTGACCAGTATTCCTCTAGACACACGGTGAGAAGTCCCCTGTATGGGCAACCTGCACACAAGGAACCATTTATTAAACAAGATCTCAAAACAGATGGTTGAAGTCACAGCAAAATCTGTGCAGATGAAAGCAGCAAGCCTCAATTGCAATGACTCTAACTAGGCTGGCAGGGGAATTCTCCTAGCTGCAGAACATTTTCTTGCTGGTCAACCTTGACAGCTCACCATTGCTTGAGGAAGCAGAGCCAATCTATCACTTTTAGCACTTCAGCAGGTGATTAACCAGCAGCTGAGTCATCCCTGGCCAGGGCTAGCACATCCCAAACCAGGGGAGGGGTGGATTGCTGGGGAAAGGAAGCACAACAAATCTTCCTCTGCTAATTCATGCCATCTGGAAGTGACAGCCTGTGGGCCTGCAGCTTTATTTGCAAAATATTGTTTACGATTTTTATTACAAGGACTATAGGGAATAAGACTTAATTATATTTAACAGTTCATCATCATTACACAAACTGTTGTTCAGCATTCAGCTTCAGAAAACAGGAAGCAATACTCATAAGATTGGTTTCTCAGGTTTTGGTTTTTTTTTCCCCAGACTATTGTTGGTAAGATGTCAAACAATTAGATGGGAAAACTGGAATGGAACCCAGTGTCATGCAGTTGGAGTCTTTTGGTGTGAGAGGGCTTTTTGGTGAGCCACAAAGGATATGAGCTGTTGCAGTCTTGACTCATCAATTTTGCTGGTGATAATCCAAACTTATACGGGAGGTCTCTTGGCGCAAGAGTTTGTAATAGAAGGGCAACAAACACAGATGATCCACTGCAAGCAGACACTGTGCAGTGCCTGCAGCTCACGTGTTCCAGCACTTGCACAATCACTTTAAGTGCAAAATTACATAAAACCAGCATTAACCCAACCAGAACTGTTCTCCATAAGCTGCAGGGTTAGAAGTTCTACCAAGTGAGGGAACCCACAAGCGTGAGAACTGGCGTATGCCTGAAGGTGCATCTATGCAAAGGCAAAAGGATTGGTGAAAGGGGCAGGATCTCCACCATTTGGCAACAAGAAGTTGTCCAATAGCTCAGCTGTCTAATTTAGCTCTCAGTACAACACTCTGCTTCCAGATCTCAGCTGCAATTTTATATATATTTACATATATATATCGCTATCAACTACTGTAAAAATAAGTTTCCTTGCACTATAACCAATAATCAAATACACAATGCTGCAAGATAAACATACACAGTGGATTATTCATTAACCCACAATGCAAGAAAGCCAAATTCACAAACAAAGTAACAGTTTAGAATACTTGGTTACAGTCAAAACATGTCTTGAAAGTCACTTTGATCTGTTGTTTCCAGTGTAAGGGACCATCCATTGCAGTACCACCCTGACATGGGGCTGGGCACAACTTCTACCATAAAGACTGGGGTGAGCAAGTGGACAAGTTTATTTTCTCAAAGGAAAAACAGACTGCAGTCTACCCTCAGGACAAGGGAATTGATGAGAATGAGGCTCCAGGATTCTGTAAGGGTGCACGAATGGAGGCAAGACAGTCCCACAGCCTTTCCTTTTTGCCTCCGCTTCCCCCGACAGGAAGGGGAGCTGGGAACTGAGTATGTGATGCAGGTTCTGGAGGAAGCTACACGAAAGCATAAAAACATTGGGAGTGTGATATCAACAGGTGAATATAAGGATATGAGATCAAACAGCTGTGCACATCCATACTACAACCGCAGCCTGAGATATGCTAAGAGCTCAACACTCACAGGGAAGAAATAGTGCCTAAGAGCACAGCTTTCCACATTCTGAGAACCTCATCTGAAGTGCACCATGTGTGCCTGGAGCTACAGATTCAAGAGTCAGTAGCAGCACTGGGGATGCCCCAGGCCTACAGAAAAAGAACAGGGCACAGACTGCACCTTCCCTGTCCACATGCAACAGCTGTGACTGAGACACAGACTCCATCCGCAGACTTGGAAACTCTGATACCTCAAGAGCAAGAGAAGTTCTAGGTGTTATTCAAAAAAGTGAAGGAGCCTTGGCCTAGATATGCTTTTTTTTTTTTTTTTTTAAATTAAATATAACTTATTTTATATAAGATGTAAAATTTTTTTTTGGAAAAATTTTTTTTTTTTTTTTTTTTAAGATAATATTTAATAAAAACAAAATTTTAAAACAAGATATACTGTTGTAAAGTCTGCAAATACTCTCAAGCTATTCTATTTTTCCATTCAGTATCCTGTTGGCTTGAATTATCCTTATAAATGATACTAAGCTTAATAACATCCAAATAGTTTAAACAGGTCTCAAAGAAGAGGGGAAAAAATGCTTCATCTTGAGAACTGAAATGTGATTGCCTTGACAGAGAGGAAACCAGCACACAATCATATGCATTCACTGAACACTGACAAATAAGCATCTTAAGGGTCTGGTTTTTATAGTACCTGAGGAAGAAGAGTACCTGTTGTGTAAGCTGCCTGTCAGGAATAGAAAAATACTACTTTGGTTTCCTATTAGCATCTCTGCTGAATCAGAAAGTAATGCAGCTGTGCTGGGGGGGCCAGAGGTGGACATTTTCACTTAATGGCAAAGCTGATCACTAGAGGCAGAATCTTTAAGGCTAGAAAAGACCTCTGAAGATGATCTAGTCTGCTAGCACAACACATCTGAATAGGTTACAAGAACAGAGATGCCTTTCAATAAATCCATTACAGATATGATGATTGTGATGTCACTGTTGGGATACAATAGGGGTAATGCTGCTAAAAGAATGAAAATTAAAATACAAACATAATTTAAAGAACAGTGAGATAACACTTGAATTTATTTTGAAATGCCCAGTTCCACACAAAGCCCAGTGCAGGAAGCCTGGAGCCACCCCCCTCCCTCCCCAGCATACCCTCTCTGGGTGGGAAACCCCAAGGCCACAGCTCTGCTCCTGCCCCCAGCACACACTGTGAACACAGGTTGCTTAATAAGCAACCAATTGTACCATGCTAATAAAAATACGTTTCTTGGCAAAAGCACTTGATTTGGCTCCATCTTACTTGATGAAAAGTGGTTTATTAAATTAGGTCAATTTGCTTACCTAAAGTTCGCTGAAACTGTTCTTGCAATGCCACATGTTGAGTATCCTTCTAAGGGCTCATAGAAGAACACCTGTAAGCTGCTTATGTCAGAAGCATCAATCCCTGACTAAATAGCAGGTTCTGTTCCTCTCTCCCAGCAATGTGAATGCTGAGCTGCAGATACATCACAAGGAAATACATGTGCATAAAAATCTTTCTCCCTGCAAGTGAACGCCTTATCTATACCTAGCAGAGGATTGTGAAGAAAACCATAAATGAAGACATTGTAACATTTTCAGTTAGCAAATTACTTTGATTTTAGAAACCAATGTCTGCTTGCCACCATTATACATATGCCAAGTTCATAGAATCACAAAGTTGGAAATGACCTACAAGATCATCTAGTCCAACTGTGCTCCCATTACCATCGCTACCACAAGCACTAACCCATATCTCGCAGCTCCTCATCCAGACACCTCTTGAACACTGCCAGGGACAGCAATTCTACCACCTCCCTGGGCAGCCATTCCAGTGCCTGACCACTCTGAGAGAAAAAGTTCTTCCTTATGTCTAATCTAAACCTCCTCTGGTACAACTTGCGGCCATTTCCCCAGGTCCTGCTTGTTGCCTGGGAGAAGAGGCCAAATCCCTCCTCATCACAACCTCCCTTCAGGAAGCTGTAGAGTGCAATGAGGTCTCCTCCAAGCCTCCTCTTCTCCAGAAGAAACAATCCCAGCTCATCCAACTACTCCTCATAAGACTAGCAGGAAGTGCCCTCACGAGCACATGGGAACAACCAGCCTGCATTTCCAGACCAGCACAAACCTGTACCATTTGGGTCAGAGAATTGCTGTGCTCAAAACAGGGGTCACCTGCAGGTAACCACAGGTGGCTTCACAACAGCTTGTCCAGGAGCCTGATCTCCTATGGCTGCCAATTAGGGAAGACAGAGAGATTCTGATGCCCACTTGCTCCTGGTGGGGGATTTCCCCACACTACAGAACAGAGAAGCACACTGTGAACTCCTTTCATTCCACAGAAACCCTAAAAGAGCTGAGGTGTTAAGGTATTTATTAACATATTTGATTCTCAGGGTTTTGAGTGTTAAAATTTAGAGGGCAGAAAGCTGAAAAATACTTCTAGTGTGTGGGTAGATAAACAGTGACTAACAAGGGCAATGAGGGATTGAGAAACAGCTGCTGAAGGGCATCACTGCAGATTCTGGCATCACCTAACACCCTGAAAGAAGAAAATGAATGTTCTCCCTCTCGTTCCCACATCAGCATACCTCACAGGCACTCCCATGGACTCGACCAGTGACAAGCTTACTCTGTAAAAAGCCATCCCATTTGCACTGCCAGTATGAAAGGATGCAGTGCAATGTCATCCTCTGGTCACCTCTGATGCTTCAGGTACTAGGAAAAAATTCTCCTCGAATGAGCGGTAAGGCACTGGAATAGGCTGCTGAAGGATGTAGGACGAGTCACTATTGCTGGAGGTTTTCAAGAATGCATTGATGTAACACTGAAGGATATGGTTAGTGGGCATGGTAGCAGCAGTGAGTTGACAGTTAGACTAGATGACCTTAGATGTCTTTCCCAACCTGGTTCAATTTCACTCCACTGGCACCGGCTGCCCAGCAAGGCAGCAGAAGCCCCATCCCGGGGGACATGCAAGGTTAGGCTGGATGAGGATCTGAGCAACCTGATGCAGTGTAGGTGCCCCTGCTCATTGCAGAGGAGCTGGCCAGATGACCTTTAGAGGTCCCTTCCAACTCAAACAACTGTACAATTCCATGATCCAAATCAGCAGAAGACACCTGAATTCCTGCCACTCAAGTTCTCACGTGCAGCCTTGTCCATCACTTAACCAGTTACACACAGCCAAGAGCTGTTCATCAGTCCATACTGCAAGGAATTACGATCATTCATAAGTTTGAGATATCAACCTATTTCTACTATTAGTCTAATATCATCTCAAGTGTTACTTCCTTTCAGGACATTTAGTATTCCTTTTCTATCTTGAGCATAAGCTTTCTTGTTTGTCATTCTTAGTTACTTTGAAATTATGATCTATTTTGGAACAACTCCAAAGCCTAATTATGTTTTCAATTTATTTTACATCTCACTGATATAACATGGCTTACAATTGTCTGTACATGTAACATTGATATTTGATAGACAATAGTTCAATTTTAAGTATATGCAAAAAAATGTATAAAAAGTATATGCAAAAATCTGATCCTTGACCCACAAGGTTCTGAACTACATAGTTCAGAGGGTTTTTATTTCTTGAACATGAATGTTGGGTGATGTTTAACTGCTTCTACTGAAAAGCAGTTAAAACATTTTGTATTCTTCACTTCCAGTAAGAATAAATAGAGCACCAAATTTTGTTATTGATTGGTTGCCTACTTTCTGCTTTAAATTGCTGATCCATAGCATGCACAGAATGGTGTTTTGCAATAATTGAGAGCCATTAATCTTATTTTACAGGACAATGGATGACATCAATATTCCCTGGCACACAGAGCAAGGTATTGTGCCAAGAAAGTGTTATGCAAAGCATTAAGAAAATAGAATACCATCATCATCCTTGAAGGTACTGAAGTACAGGAATTTAACAGCACTCTCCAGAAATAAAGGTTGAATTGAAAAGTCTTCAAGAAGAAAATACAAAATATATTGGAGAAGGTGTAAGTTAAGAATATTAAGTGCTGAGATATAAAACATAGGTAGTAAAAGATGCAGATATTTCTGTGCCACTGAAGCTGCTAGAAACAAGAGTCTCTTCACTAAAAGCGAAGAAATGACATTGCACAGTAAAAAACACTAAAAGAGAAAGAACTGTAGTAGTGCTCATAAAGTGGTAAAAACATTTTAAAACACAAATTTGTCATCAACTGAAAGCATTTGTTTTAATAGTAGCTTCAGGAGGAGGAGGTGGACCGTAGCTTGTATCCACTGAACTAACTCAGCTGAAATAAAAGGAGGCAACAGGTTTCTCACACTGAAACCAAAACTAATTGCTTGAAAAGTAGCAAATATTGAGCAATTAGAGATTTTCATTCTTGTTTCAAGTCTGCAAACTGCCAACACTTAACTGTCAGGAAATGTTTCCAGTGGACAGCTGCTTATCAAAGTAAAGCAGTAGTCCAAGGGCAGTAGTGCTTGAATGTGCCAAGCAATGGCAAAATTGAATTCAACTAGGTCAAGTTTCAAATAAATAGCAGATTGTAGAATAATTCCTGAAATAGATTAGGACTGGGGCTGCAGATGAAATCTGCTCAAATTGTACACTACACACCTCACACAGCCCTGAAATAGGCACTGTGAATAGGAGTAATCTTTTACAGGCAGTAAAACAGGCAGTAAAGACCTAAGAGTAAACTGGAAGTCAACTTGGCAGGAGTGGAAAACTGTATATAAAGAAATAAAGAAAACAATTCTAAAAATTAATTTTTAAAAGGATGTTTTTAGAAAACAATAGTGGTATGCCTAACTCCAGTGGCTATGAAGATTTTATTCACTCTAAAAACCGCAACCAAAAGAAACCCATCTTATTTATGGAAGACTCATGCTACTCCAACTTCTTTGGTTTTGTAAAATAATATATAATAAATTGCAATGACTCCCACAGACAGCATAAGAAAGTGTTTGGACTCTATGATCCTTGTGAGTCCCTCCCAGTTCAGGATAATCTACGATTCTAAGACTGAATGGCCTCACATCCCTTCAGAAGACATTTTCTAGGCAAGCTACTGTTAATAACTAGGTCAGCCACTGTGCTACTTCAGGATCCGAAAGACACAAGTATCTGTTGTGGTTCTCAGCCTCAGAAGTTTCAATATTATTTGTTTCTGCAGTGCCACAGCTGCGTGCAGCATTCTACAGACTGCTGCTGAAGGAGCTGACAGCTCAAATTAAACACAAAGCACCACCATAAAACAAATCAGACTCAAAAAGCACTCAAAGAGCTATCAGAACTTCTAAAAACCTGAAGTTTTCACTGCTAACTGAAAAGCCGTTCAGTTAGCATTTCATATACATAGACATCCCATCTTGGAGTCTGCTGCTGGAGGAAGACTTTCTTTTTAATCCCTGGATGTGAGCTATGGAAACGTGTTTTGGGGCTGAAAGGGAAGCTAGAGTTGTAAGAAAAAGATAGGCAGGAAAGAGGTTCCAGGCAGAGTTAACAGAAATCAGTTGTGAAAGTGAAGACTGGCAAAAGGCAGTCAAGGAAGAAACTGCTGTAGAATGATACCTCCACAACAAACTTGACACCACATACATAGATGACAATCCTGAAGTTACAAGACAAGCTAAGAAGCAAATCAATCAAAAAACAAGAAAGCCAGATATAAGTCAGGAGATGAAATAGTATTGTACATGAGGAAAATCAACAAGACTGAAGTCATAGGAAAATGGGAGTCTAAAGGCAGGATTTGCACTAGCGCAAGGAAAAGGCTGACATTCAGTGAGATGCTAACAGGGAAGACAGGCTAATTTTAAAAGAGTTTCAGGTTAGCTGCATTTAGTTCAGCATCAAGTGTCAAGTGGGAAGTAACCGTGTGATTTAAAGACTTCACCTGTATTGAAGGTGTTAGAACTGCAGTCACTCACAAAAGGATTTGGACAAAGAAGGCACCAAGATAGAACCCTGAAGAATGGAGTGAGAATTTATTCAAATCTGATGAGTCTTACTTATCTATAGAAACAGATAAAAACATACTGAAGCCTTAATCGTCCATTTAGTCCATTAGCATTTAGTGGGTATAAATGTAATTTTCTATCCAACAGGTAGCAATAACAATTAAAAAATATCTGAAGTATATCTATATTATCCATTCCTTTCCATACTTAACTAGTCAGAGAAGATCAAGAACACCCAAAGCTGCAGCACATGCAACGATCTGCCTATCAAAGCTTTACCTACTGAACCCAAAGATGTTTTCAGGACTCTGGAGCTCAATGGCTAACACCTACAGGAGCACCAAGTCATACCCACCATGGGTGCAGAAAGCATCACAGCAGTCTTGCACTGTAGGATTACAGGAACCACAAGACTGTAAAACAAAGACACAACTGGACGTTCACCTGGGCCTGGCAGAAAGCCCAGAGCTACTGCTGGTTCAGTGCTCAGCTCTGAGCAAGAGACCTCAGTGGAAAAAAAGATACTCTGGAGGACCATTCTTGAAGGTTTCTCAGGCTACACATAAACTCCCTATCTCCAGCATTCTAGACTCTCACCTTCCTCATCTCTTTATAGTATAGAGGCAACATCCAGCCTTCCCTTCTCCTAAATGAATTTCAGGTTTTAAATCTGTGGAAGAGGCTTAAAAAAAAAAACAAAAAAACCAAAAAAAAACTAGAAAGACAGCAGTGGTTAGCAGTGTTGTTTTCATGCAGCCTCTGTTGTACAACAGCACCATCCAGCTGTCAAACAAAAAAATGAAACAGTTCACCACCACAATCCGGATTTACTTTTGTATCACAAAAAACTAAGTTAAAACTAGCAAACAAAACCCACAAAAAGTCTTCTCCTTCCCAAATGAATTGCATTGGTCCTTCATGTTTTGCTCCTGTGTTAGCGAGAAGATTGCGTGCTTGCGGTAGTGAAGCAAGGAGTCCAACCCGATTTATTTCTGCCCAGAAAGCCTGGCAGTCTACAACTTACCTCAGTGCTTGATGTGCAGAATATCAACTCTCAGACACGAAGAAAATACCATTACCTTTGGCTCACAACCAAAGACAGTTAACCACACTACAAAAATTAACCAAAAAATAGTTTCATAAATAACAGCTTATGTGTTTGCTGCCATAATTTACCACTCCATAGCCTCAGAAGTGAAACTAGGAACAATAACCTGAAGTGAATGGAAGAAAACAAAGACTCAAACTTCACTAATGGATTGAATTATATTATTGAATTATTTTTAGAACAAATGTGGGGAAGGAAGTTTAATAAAGCACGTGCAATACACAACTGAATAAGCAACATCCCTCACAACAGATAACTGTTACCTGAATGCAATCTTAACGTCACTGCTTACACTGCTGCCACTTCATCATAAAAGATCAGGCTTGCCATAAAGCCTGGAAGTAGCTTACCTTGTATGTCCACTGATGATCAGAAAGTCTAATACTAGAGAATTGCTCTTGCATTACGCATGCCTTAAGCTCACCCTGCAATCCCATATTTTTGCATTGTGAAATAGCTCCAGCAGGGAATACATCTCTTCCTCTAACTTTCTGAATTCAAGTCCTATTTCTTTAGACACAGTATAGCAGATACCTCAAACTGCCACATGTCAACCATCCTTTAAGAGAAGGAAATGAGCAGAAATTCCCCCAGAAAACATTAGCAGGAAAAAAATGAAAATGTAAAAACCCACTAGGAGTATGGCTATTCTTACACTCACATCTGAAAGAAAGATTCTGGGTGAGACAGCTTTAAGAAACTTCAACTCATGCAAGAAAACAGATTTAAGTGCAAGTCCAGAGCCAGAGCGCAGCAAAAAGAAAACAGCAAGCACTAGAATAGTAACTAAAGCCATAAGAGCAAAGACACCATGCCTAAAGATGCAGCAAAGGTACCAAATGACAAACTTGTGCCAAGTGGGAGAGAAGGTGCACTCACACAAGCACAGCAGCAAGACTAGAGAAGTTCAGAGATGCAATAAAAGAAGACAGCCAGCTAGCCAAAATTCAGAGAGCAGGAAGATTAAATAAAAGTATGGCCAATGAGGAAGTAGCACCAGTAAGCCTAACTAACATAAGCAAGGAATTCTCCACTCACATGGAGAACACGGGATCTTCAGGAAGAAGAGCTGTATTAGAAAGTCATTGCAGGACTAGATCATTAGAGCAGAGAAAGAACAAAGTTACTAGAAAAATGTTGGAATTGGAACAGGCTAAAAATGTTCAAATTATTACACAGAAGAATTTGTGCCAAACTGGAAAAAACTCCTAAATAGGAGGGTATTGGAACAATTTAGACGCGGTGGGCAAGGGAGAGCCTTCGAATCCAGTATGGAAGCTTCTCCTCTGCTCCAAACAAAAACACAATCACTAACAGCAAAGTCTGAATTTTAAGTAGAGACAAAATAATCCAAAATAAAGAATCTCATGATCTTCACTGAAGAAGGTCTACTTCCCTTGCCAGGAACACACAAGAGAACTTATGACATGGTTTGGAGGCCAGACAGCTATTCTCAGAGAACTGCGCACTCAAGAGGCATAGAGTTACACTCTTTCCAGTAACAAAAAGGGCACGATCAACCCGCTTCAAAACTCAGGTATAAAAGGAGAGCAGCCAGAAAGACAGGAGGAAAAGTAGATCCCATTAGTTACTAGCCAGTCAAATGGCAAGGGGGAAGGTGAAAATAGCATAAAACTGCTACTAACATAGAAATAGGCCTTGAGTGGAAAGCAATGAGACAAGCCAGACAGAGGGAAAAACAGGAAGCTATGAAGTCTTTCCAAAACAGTCTAAATAGAGACAACACTTTTACACCATCCTCCAAGAGGTCAGCCAGAGTTCTGCCAACTTAATCGCAGTATGTCTTAAAAGGTTTTCACATGGAACTTGAGCTCATGACAGTGGTTTTTCCATTTTACCACAGGGTGTGAGGTAGCCAGGACATTAGAAAACACTGAAGGTAAAGAAAACAAGTGTTTCTAGACAGCAATCTGATTACTCTTACTAGTTGCCCAGTTTAGATAAGGAATCAGTTTTAAGTAAGACTGGAGTAGCCTATTCAAACCGAGCTTTGTAGTCTTGTATGAGTAAGCATTTCCAAACCCAGGGCTTCAGCTGTCCAGAGTCTTAGATAGATGTACTATAGTTAAACCTGCTATGTCACTCCAAGTGCATGTTTACATGCCTACAAAGTCCCCAACCCCCTCCAACAGCCAAGTATCTATTTACTATCCACCAAAGGTACTATTCAGCTGAGACTAGTTCAGTTTCATCTTCACCAACCTCTCTAACCTTGTACCAAGCAAAGCCTGGACATCTGATTTATAGCAACCTTCTGCTTACATCAATGAAGAGCTGTAATCTTACTGACAGCTTGCTGGAATTGGGATTTTAGTTCATGAATACTGTTATTTAAAGAAGGGACACTGAAAACAACACATGAAAACAGTGACAGGACTACCCATGATAAGCTTAGAATATTAGTCAGAATAGCTACATACAAGAGATTTTGCACATACCAGTCCTCTACTAGTCTTTCTAAACATACACAGCCCTTAAAACTTACAACTATTAGAAAAGTTGGAACTTAGAATTGCAAATCTTAGGAGCCTTTACTATTTCACAGCATTTAGCGTTTCAAAGCATGCTAGCTTCTACTTCCAAGGTGTCTGGACAAGCTGTGTTGGTACCCACGTCTTCTAGTGAGACACTAAACACCAATGAGGAAGAGTAAAAATAGAACTAGTCCTATCTTAGAAAGCTCACACTTCAAAATTTAGGAGCTTACTTTAATCCAAGCTACGGCAACAGTGAAGTCCAGTTTACAAGAGGGCAACCTGCTGCTGTTAAGTCTTCGTATGTACAGTGAAAACAGTAAAACAACGCAAGTTTGTAGTCAGTATGGCTTCTCTACCGATTCCAAGATTTTCTTTCTCTCTTCTGCTGAGGGCATCTCCGGTTTCACACCATTTCTTTTCCTTTGCATCATAATGTCATGCTGAAAACAGAAGAAAGTAAGCATGAGAACACTGATTTCTCAAAAGTCTCTGCCCCTGAGCTCCTGCTGAATAAGATCCTTCAACTGAAGTACTCTTATATACAAGGAGCCAGATACTCCAGATCTGATTAGCTGACAACTAAACGTACCAGTATTTAACTGAAGCTATCTGATAGCTCACCTTGCAGCTTCACATTACAGCATTCCCATGACACAGACGACTATGCAATTGTCTGTAAACAGGTTTTTTTGAAGTTTATACAAGTATTTAAAGGCATAAACTGAAAGACTATTACAGTGGCATAAGGACTAAAGACAGCAGAGAACAGTTGAACTGCATGGGATTATATCACCCATATCCATGTGCACAGAAGTGCCCAGTCCCTCAAGATCCTTTCCCACCACAATACAGGAGGAAAAAAAAAATAAAATGAAATCACCACCAAACAGTGAACTCTTCCTGAGCGTTATCTCAGATTGAAGCAAACATGAGCCTAAGCAACAAAAACAGATCAACTTGTCTTACCTCTCTTTACTTACTTGTCTCACTTTCTTTACGTGCATTAAAAAAAAAAAAAAAAAACAAACTTACTGACAAAAATATCTGACTAACTTAAAGGGAAATAAACTGCAAGAACACTGACTCACAATTTCAGAGAGTAAGTTTAAGTCTTCCGGCACCACATACTAAATATTTAGGAATCCAGCACCTTCATGCAGGCATAAGAACAGCAGTAGCAAGCGGTACAGTCCAAAGAGTTCAGAAAACACTGTCAGAAATAATATACTTGAAACAAGATAAGGAGTAAAATTTAGGAAAAAAAAAATCTATGGTGCTTAAGGAAACCTGCTTACCCAGAATTTTCTGCAGTTTTTGTACTTCAAAAAATAATCAGTACACATATCCTTTTTATAGTTGTTGTCATCCATACATTTTCTAGAGGCATCTGTTTCCTTTAATAGGAAAAACAAGCTTCAGAGCTGAGAGAAGTTACTGTACTCAGTGTCTAAAAATTCTAACAGGTCTCAGTATCTACGAAGATAGGAGACAGCTTCTCAGATGAATGAACTATACCAAAGGGAACATCTACCAAAACAGATAATCAGTAATTCCCAAGCAATTACTCCACTTGGAGATTGTAACAAACATAGTATTCCTTAAATAGTAAGAAGAAAGTCCACAAAACAATTGTTTACAGAGATCCATCGTATAACCCGAAGAAGAATATTAAGATTATCCTTCAAGCTTGTCTATCTGGGATTTCAGACCGGTTTTATGGACAAAACAATAAAGCAGTAAGTTGTATTATTCCCATTTATAAGTAACTACAGACTTATTTCATATGTAATTTACTACACACGTTTTTCAGTCTTTCCCATTTTCAGGCTCTAAGAAACATTCAGTGCATACTACTGATGCAGGAGTGCTCCCAATAATGCAATTTCTAGAGGAATTATTTCTGCATTTTGACCTAGAAACATACAAACAGAAATCCCAATTTGATCTTACCGCTATGCAAGGATTTCTGTCATGATCTCTAAGCTGCTGTGCATACTTGGGCATTCTAGACACTCGTACCCTGGCTAGAAACAGAAAAGAAATGAGTTAAGTATCACCTTTTAATAGTGACAGAGTACTAAGTTTGAATTTCAGCATCTAATGAATGACTTCGGTAGTGCACACAAACAGGTTTTGTGGGTTGGTTTCTTCTTACAGCTTTTTTTGTTTGTATTTTTCAGTAAGCTTCTTTTGCAAAATTCCAAAGCACCAACAAGAAGACAGCTCAGGCAAGTTAACCTATCACCAAGATTGCTTCCACCTAGATAAGTTCCTTCAGAATGACTGAAGGGAGCCACTCTTCTACTGGACTACCACACTGAGAAAGCAAACATCTGGGAGAAACAGTTTTGTGGAAACTCTTCAAACCAATACACTTTAAAAACCACAGCAAATACAGCAGGGGAACAGACCTGTCCCTACTCCTTAGCTCGACCACATCACGCATACGCACATGCACAGAAGTGCCCAGCCTCCCGCTGCACCAGACAATTAACAAAGAGAAATTACTCCATTGTAAGGATGACCGGATTTCCCTATGCCATACAGGACAGCTTGAATCACATTTTTCAGCCGTTTACTAGCTTGAAACAGGCTCTAGGAACTGCAAGCTGAAGATATTTCAGTGCCAATAACCCACAGTCATCCAAGATTAGGACATCAAGAAGAGCAGCAGACCCTCACCTTCCTTACTGCTCCCCACGCACTGCCTTCAGCACAAATGTGGCCATGTAGGTATTTGTTCCAGATAGAACAGTTCTAAGCAGAAATACAAACTAACTTGATCAAATGCTTACTTGAGCCAATGCAAGCAGAAATACACAACTGAGAAAGAAACACCTCTGCAAAAAACTGAAGTACAGATATCCTTGTTCAACATTACTTAGCCTAGAGACACTGCTGCAGTTTGAGCTTAAGCTTCTTTCTGTTCAGATTGGTGACTGAGAAGCACAGGTCTACAGAGAAAATCCACTTCTGCTTGATATCAATTAAAAAAAAAAAAAAGAAACTAAACACTCTAATGAACTCATGTAGTATTTTAGATGAAGGTTCTTGGTGAAGAAGAAAACTATTCCATGTGAACAAGCCTTAGATTTCCATCCCCTATGAAACTATATTCACAAGGTACTTGAATTATTTCCTTACTCCACATGGCAGTGTCTGCTGTTTTAGAAAACAGCATCAGGAGCTTCAGCTTTCCCTAAAGAACTGCCCAAGGTTTGAGGTGCCTTAACAAGCTAGGTAAATGCTAACTTTCGTGAGCGCAAAAGGATTTGGGTGAGAAACTTCTGACTGAAATGGAACCACACACATGTAGGACAGCATCACCATCCCACTGTGAGCATTACCAAAACAAGTACGTCTGAAAGTGTTTGGAGTCAGACTGACTTCAGCTTAGAACTCCTCTGGAAGAATAACTGTTAGCCCCAGACACACCGACATCACTGCTCGCTACCCAGACCGTTATCACCACGTTCGTTTTGACCACACCGCCGGAACCCACCTCCGCACCGGGCAGCGGAGCGCACCGTACCCACTTCACAAGCACTCAGGTCGGGCTCCTCGGCACGTACGCCTCTCAACATCTCCAAAGCGCTCTCAGCCGAGAAGGGCAGGCGGGTCACACCGGAACGCCGCCTCTGCCCGAAGCGGCAGCCGGGCAGGAAGCCACCCCACACCGCCATCCCCTGCTACACGCGAGCTGCGGCCCCGAGCACAGCCACCGCCAGCAGCTCCTGCGCCGGGCTCTTACGTTCTAGCACACCGGCAGTCACGAGCCACGCCAGGCAGAAAGCTGCTTGTCGCCGCTGCTCCTTAACCCCGAGGCTCTGTCAGCCCATAAACCCACCGGCATATTTCCCCATGGGCTCCGCGCTATTTTCTTAAACGCACGCGGCGCAGCTATTAAGCGGCAAGCCGCGGGGCGAAGCTCGCACACAAAGACCGCAGCCCTGATCGCCTTAACACCGGGCGGGAGGCTACAGGGAGCCGCAGGGCCGCGGCCCGGGCCGGCGCCGAGGGCGCGGGTGGCGGCGGGGCCCGAACGGCGGCAGGGCTGTAGGGCCGCAGCACGGCGCCCCGCTCCCTCCGCCCCGCGGACAGCCCCGGCCCCACCTGCCGCCGGAGCGCCGCACCCGGCCCCACCGCTGTCCGTCCGGCCCCGGCGCCGCTCGGCCGTCGCCCGCGGAAACGAGCGAGCCCCCGAGAACGGGCGGCGGGCGCCCGGCCCGCCGGCGGCACTCACCTCCGTTCCCGGCCGCGTCCGCGGGAGCCCGAGGCGGGAGGGGAACGGCCCCGTCTCCAATTCGAAAGACGTCAGCGGCTCGGGCAGAGCGCTTAAGTACGGGCGCAGCCTACCCCGCTCCCGGCCTCGCGGCTCCCCCCGGCCCAGCGCCGCCGCCGCCCACGCCCCGGCGGCGCTGAGTGGCGGGGTCGGACGGCCAATGGCGGCGGCGGCGGGCCCGCCCCGGTCTTGAGCGGCGCCTCCTTCCACCAACGGAGCGGGCGGCGCGGGCCGCAGGCGCCGGCGGCGGGGCGCGGCCGCGGCGCTGAGTGACGGGGGGAGGCGTCCAACCCGCGGTGCGTGTGGGCGGCGGGCGGTGTGGGCGCGGCGTGTGCGGCAGGCTGGGCTGCACCGCAGCGCATACACTACAATGGCTGCTGGAAGGACGGGAAAGCAAACAATTTCCAGGCCCGCCGCGTCCAGCCCGAAATATGGGGAAAAAATTACAGAAAAATCGGAGAACACTGTAAAGGGTGGAAACGGGGCGCAGAGGGGATGCTGAGGCTCCCGCGGTGAGTCTGCTGCGGGTTTGGGGGGCAAGCGCCGGGGTTTAGCAGGGAAATATCAGGGTTATTTAAATTATGAAGGGGGAGGAGGAGAAGGAGGGGGGAGAGGAGCGAGGAGCGGCGAGCAGCGAGGAAAAGTTGGTGTTAATCATCCCCGCGTCCATCCTTCTCCCCCCGCCGCCCTCAGCCCCCACCGCCCCGCGCCGGACCCCCCCCCCCCCCTCGCCCCGGAGGGGGGAAAAACAGGGAAGGGGAGGCGAGCGCTGCCCCCCGCCCTCCTCCCTCGGAGGGAGAAAGCGATGATTTTCGGCAAAACCTCTCTCAGGAGTTTCCTCCACTCCTCCCCTCCCTCCCCGCGGCGCTCTGGTGGTTCGCGAGAGAGCGGGCGAGGCAGCGCGCTGCCCGGGGCCGGCGGGAGGGAGGGAGGGAGGGCGCGGGGTGCCCGGCGCAGACCCCCGCCGGGGCCGGGGCCGGGGCAGGAGCGGGAGCTGCGCGGCCGCCCCCTCCCCTCCTCGCCCGAGCGGAGCCTGTGCTGCGAAGGCAGTGACAGCGGCGAGAGCGGCGAGAGGGAGCGGAAGACATTAGAGGCGGCGGTGCCGAAAAATGAGGGAAAAAATTAATATAAATTCGCCCCCCGCCTCAAAGCGGCCGAATTTCGCACAGAAATTTCCCCCGCGGACCCGGCTACCCGGAGGGGGTCCCCCGGCCCCGGCGGCCGCCGCTTTGGGGGGAATCCGGAGCGACTTTGGGGCGCTCGCCCCCCCTTCCCCTCGGTTTTTTGGACAAAAGTGGGTTTTTTTTCCGGGGTAAAGCAACGAATTTGCCCGCTCTCCCCCTCCGGGTGGCCCGGGAGCCTTCCCCTGCCCCATCGGCGTGTGTTGGGAGCACAGTGCGGAGCCGAGGAGCGCCGAGCCGGGCTGCGCTGGGGAGGGGGATCGCTAACTGAAAGCAGGAGAGATCCGGAGAGAGAGAGAGAGAGAGCAGGGACAGCTTGTTGTCAGTATCATAAACAACCAAAATGGAGGGAGAACTGAGGCATATAACAAAATAAAAATCAGAAAAAAATGCCAAAAAATACCTAAAAATCGGGGCTGCTCCTCCTTTTCCCCCTCGAGGTGACAGGATAAAACCCCGGGCTTCCCGAGGCCGTTTTCGGGTTTCAGGGAGCAAGGAGTTAATATTTATTATTTTTTTTTTTTGTTGATGAATTCTTTGGGAAGGCAAAAGCCTCCTCTCACTCGCCACCGACAATGGGGAAACGTGAAAATCCCTTTCGGGAGGCAGAGGTAGGGGGAGATGGGAGTGCAGAAAGTGCACAACTTTGGGGCAATGCGCAGCGATCCCAGATAAGATAAATGCTGCATGTGCTGCTGGATAACTTCCCTTTTTAATGCTTTTCGGGTGTTTGGGGGGGAGTTTGGAGGTGGGGGCTCCTCTCCTTTTCTCTGCCTTCTTTTTCTGTCCTTTTTATTATTTTTTTTTTTTCGGACCGGAATGCAGTGCCTTTGTAGTGTCACTTTCCTGATCTAATTAGGATGTGTGAGGCAAAGTGTAAACCTTTCCGGTTTATGAAGTGCGTTTTCGTTGCCTTTCAATCTCGAGTTTTCCTGGTGGCTCCCTCCTCTCTTTAAACTGGATCCTGCGGAGCGGTGTGGGGCTGAGGTAATGCTCCACGGGGAAGGCTCGGTGCTCCAGGCAGGCACCCCTCCTGCTCTGCCTGCTGCCCTGCCTGCCACGTCCCTTCACCTGTCTGCGTCCCACCAGGCGGGCGTTCTGCGCTCCCCTCGTTGTGTTTATGTGAAATGAGGATGCCTCATCTCGCCTCACGTTGAAGTTAATGCGAAAGTGCTGCTGATGTTGGTTCCACGTGGGATCAGGGCATTTTAAAGAGACAGCTTCTCTTTTCCTATGGTTCTCAGCGCCTCTGCCTATGGCAGGCGGGTGGTTCGTTGGTTGTTTTTTTTTTTAATGGAAAGGTATCAAATCAGCCCTGGTCTGAAAAATTAGCTGTAGATAACAGGGGGAAATGCTCAGATTCGTTCGGATCGAAGCCATTCTGTTGTGCGTCACGAGGTTTTTCTTGATGTGTTCATGAGAAGGCTGTGTTTTGGAGAGCTCTTTCTGGAGTGGGTGTTGCAGGAATGGAGGAGTCCCATGTTGTTACATTAAAACCTGACCTTGCTGTGCTACCTGTGAGCTCCCTGGGAGGAGACCCTATGTGCGCAGTGCGGTTTCGTGGCTCTTTTGTAGGAGTTGCAAAGTGCATTATTTTTACTGTAAATAAGTTCAGTGTTACTGGGAACACTTGAGTTTGTTGAACAGCGTTGCGGCCCTTGTTGTGCGCTTAAACCTTCTGAGCAGTTCCAAAAGGTTTTGAGAATGGTGCAAATAACTGTAGGTTTTAATTGGCCGAACGAGGGGCTTTTTTTTTTTTTATTTTTTTTACAAGTACACCTTGGCTGTGTAACAACATCACTTGGGAGAATCGCCTCTGGCTTTGTCTAAGAAAAGGAAAAATCATCCTAACCGAGGTCTAGTTTCATGGGATACGTACGCATCTGTGTGTGCATGCGTACTTTTCGCATCCGTTCGGGATGGTACGGTTTTTCACTTGATTTTTAACTTGAAAATGTTGAACTGTCACAGTGTGAAACGCTCTGCTTCTTTGGATGATCTCCTATGGATTGTGATTTTCAGGAAAACAAGCTGTTTTAAGAAAATTAGTCTCCTCTGAGCATGGCGATTCGATATCTTTGCGAGGAGTTACAGCGTTTCCTTTGCACGTGCTTTGTTTTTGCGGACTGTGTTTGCTTCCAGGTTAGAAATGGAACACAGGTATGGAGTTTTGGAGAGGGAAGATGGTGCACTCAGCTTGTAGGGAGGCTGCTGGAGCAAATGTTTGCTTTGAACCTCTGGAATTTGAATATCAGTTGTGGCAGCCCTTTGTGTTTGATAGCATGTGTTCGCAAATGGTCCGTACCTTCCCTGCAAGTGTGACCAAAGAGCTGTTGTACAGTGGCTGTTGACTGGGGCAGCCTTGTGGTTGGAGATTTTGGAAGAAAGCTCCAAGTTTTCCACTGAGTCACACTTGTGAAAATTAAATCACATCAGTTACTCCTAGGCTTGAAAAGGAGCTCATTAGGGAAGGAAGATTAATCAGTTTGTGTAAAGGAATGACACTGAACATATTTCCATAACTGTCTTTTGGGGATGAGAGATCTTTTTTGTTGTTAGCAAGAATTCATGCTTCAAAATTCCTTCCCAAACCCCTTTTTTTTTTTTTTTTTTTTTTTTTTCTTTTTTTTTTTTACACTGATCTCTTCTTTTTACAGACTGTGAAGGTATTTTGTCCTGAAATTTGTAGAAAGCTGATAAATTAATAGCAGTACACTGCATGTTGGTGTTTGGTTATTTTTAATGTACCATGGTAGGGAGCAGTGGCTGCACAGAACCAACTGCAGGGAACTGGTTGGTGGTGCTGAGAGCAGTATTTAAGAGCTCTTAAAACAGCACATCTGTGACAGTGAGTGCGAAGCATTAAATATGTTACAGCCCTTTCACCTCCTTCAGAGCTTCTGAATGATCAATTTGGTGATGCTGAGGATAGGTAGGGGCGTCCATCCTAACAATAGGAAAGAAACACATGTTGTGGGGGATGGCTCTTGACCTACAGCTGTGCATTACAAAGTAAATTCAGTGTATCCAACTATAGCAGAAAACTCAGGACATAGGGAGGAGGAAGGGTGTTCTCACAGAATTTGATGCTCTTCTGAAATGGATTTGCTTTTAAGCTATAATCCAGATGATGAGGACAATAGAAGTAGATAAATGCTGCTTAGGATTGTTTCTTACGAATAGAATTACTCTCTTTTTGTAGAAAACTGAATTCTTGCAGGGATGATGCGGTGTGTAATAAAAACAGAAATAATTTTCCAAGCTTCCTTACTTCTAAGAGTTGAGCTAATCTTCTCTGTTACACGTTGCTTTGGTTATATATGATTTTGCTATGTTTTTTCATGATTTTTTGAAATTAAAACACCCAGAGAAACCAAAACTGTGGGGCAGTTGTTGGTAAAACTACCCAAGTTCCTGCTGGTAAAGTGGGGAGTTGGAAGTGTATTGAAGACCTACTGAGATATTTATCAATCCTATTCACTGATGTTTAAAAGTTATTAACTTCAGTATTCTACAACAGTACAGCAAATACGGGAATCTGAACTGACACGTATTGAACTTTTCTTGAGTGCTTGGTTCAAGTGTAATTCTTGATGCGTACATTTTACGTAGTAATAATCCTGAAAAATGAGTTTTCCAATGTAGAACATTGAGATTTAAATTAAAAAACTTTGTGAGAGTGTGTGGAATTCCAAAAGCCCCTATTTCCCAGGTGCAGCCACTCCTAATGGTCGTCCATCTGCGCACATAGGCAGTCAAAATGGTGCCCTTCAGTCCCCTCCTTTCAGGGCAGTGCATGTGTTTTAAAAGTAAGGGCTTAAAGAGGGCACTACTCCTGCCCTAAATAAACTACTATTTTTAACTGTTTCAGGTTGTTTTGTTAAAAGGGATGTTTTATTTCGGTCTAAAACAA